AAACCATTCGAAATGTAATTCTAAAATTTCCCTTCGGGGTGAAGTTCGACTTTAACTTTCAAATCATTTGTTACCCGGTTTATATGAAAACATATAATGTTGTTTTTACAGAAAGGTGCTGAAAGAAATAGCTGTTGGTGAGTTGAATCCAAATGAAACAGTTCAAGCTAACCTGGAAGCACAACTACTCTCCAAACTAGACCACCCAGCCATCGTCAAGTTTCATTCAAGCTTTGTAGAGAATGCAAGTTTCTGCATCATCACTGAGTATTGTGAGGTAAGGAAAAGTGAAATAATTCCAAGAGAGCACTTATTATATATTCCAAGAAGTATAATGATATATAAAAGTATTATTCACTAATTCTGCCACTTTCAGCAGCAGTGTTTTACATTGTAATTCTTTACCTGTCATGTGAACCAATTAGGATGAGAAAAAATGGAAACTGCCTTTGTTGGCTTGTTTTGAAGGCGCCTAATAGCTTCAGCACTTGCTGAGTATCTAATGCTGACAGATTCCAGAATTGCAGCAAAGATAGCCACTTGACTTACCTACAAAATGGGGGCACAAGCCTGTGTGTTCATCCCCCGGACGAAGCTACGAAATCTCTGTAGCGCAACGCGTTGGGGAGGGGCAGTGATGTCACCGCGCACTCTATCTACTATACGGCGAGTACTGAAGGTGTGTGGATAAACACCCACCGCTCTGTTTTAGCTGTAAGCTGCGGATCTTGATATATCTAAAAGCGCTAATGTGTTATATGACATGTGAGTGCATTATGGAAGCACATTAAAGCTGTTTTTACCTCTGGGATAAGACACCATATTCTTTATTTCTCTTTTGCATGAGATATACGAGGAACACAAAGGCAGAGGATTAAGGAGTGGATCAGAGGAGGGAGTATCCCTCACAGCCCTGCAGTCACACAGGTTTACAACATTATTGCAAAGACCTTATCTTCACACTGAAGGAGAGCATATCTGTCTTGGCTGGATACTCATTGGCACAGTTACATTTGGGACAGTATTGCTGCTTTCTTCACAGTAGACTTTTTATTATATTAATTCTCTTGTGGTTTACAGATGGAATATTTGCACATTTTTATGAGGATTGCACATATAGTGATTTGATAGTATATCATTGTATCAATTTATTTCATTTTTATACCTTTTTTATTTATTTATTCACATCAGTCACTTTATATTAATTATTTTTATTTATTTCATAAGCACTTTGCACTTTTTTGTTTGCACTTTTTGATGGTATTAGAGCGCGGTAATTATTTAAATATTAAATGACAACCATGCCTTTTTGTGAAAGTGCTGATTCAGTGTATAGATATTTACTTGTAGTAATATTATTGACAGTTGAAGAAGCACTATAGTCATTCTAATGTTGTTAAAGTGGTCTTCAGCTTACCCCGACCACAAAGGACACCACTGGGTCCCGCACTGCCATCTTGCTTGTGACATCATTGCAATGCCCTCCTGCTCCTCCGAATTCAGCGATGACGCGTAGCTAGGCCCGCCCACTTCCAGCTTAGTGAATAAGTGACTAAAGGCCTCCTGGGATATTTGACATGAATATCCCAGGAGGCCCAGCGAGCGCTGTGCACATCATTCATCAAGGAGGGGTGGGGCTGAGCTGTTTCTACAAAAAAAAAAGGTACATATGAAAAACAAAACAAAAACTCCCCTATTGGGTTGGAGCAGGAGGGACATGCAAAAATGGCTGAAGTTCTCCTTTGATACAGTCAAGGAAGTTGCTATCTTAGCCTTTGATCTGCATTTGCCATGGTGTTGCAGATGTGATCAGCTATTGCATTAACCATTTGATGGTTGACAGTTCAGTTGAGAGCTAATATAAGCACATTAGTAATTGTAACAGTTATCATTCAGGGCATGCCTTGAACGGAACATTTTTGGGAAACAGTGAAATTGGTGGGTTTTGTTCCATTTTAAAGGGTTTATCAGTGAATGTTAATGTTTTAGAAACTTTGGTAGTAAATAACAAAGAGTAGTGTAAGAACGATCTTGCACTACTCTTCTAAACATCAGAAAATCAGAGTAGATGCTTCTCCTAATAAACAAAAGGGGTGCATGCCCCTTTGTTAATTATGAGCCATCCGTTCTCCATTCTGCCGTATTTCTGACAGGTGTCACAGAACAGAGAGCTGGAGCTGTATGTTCTGCAGTCTCAAACCCCCCCTTGCTTAGCTCAACCCTACAGGCTTTGCTGATGTCTACAGTACTAACAGCTCACATTCTATACAACAGGTCATGCCTGGCAGGAATCTGTGGCAGTTTTCTATAAGGAAAATTGCTATCGTCCCTAAGGACAGACCTGCGGTAGCTTCTATATCACCCTGAAGTAGAAATTGGCGTGGGTGGTGCAGATAGACCTGAAGCAGGTCTGTCTGCTTAGGTAATGTGCTGCATGCTATGCTAGACAATTTCATGCACCATTATAATGTTAATTCCATGTCTTGTTTCTAAATAACATTTGCAACTATTGATATTCTTGTTTTAATCTTTTCTTGGTCATTACATATGCAAATCTGCTTCCTGCTGATTCTCCTATTTTACTGTGAGTCTACCAGACAAGGTCTTTTAGACTAATAATAACTTTCTGTGGTCTTTAATGGGGTGAAACACTGTCAAGCGAAGCCTAATGCGGCTTGTGAAAGCTGAAATGTTCTCTGTGAAAGTGTGATTTTCACTTATATGAACACTTTAGCATCTATTATCTGTGCATACCTTCGGAGGGCACCAGATATGGGTTGTTTTCATTGAAGGTGTGAGAGGACTGTTAACCATGAAGCATTATTATGGCAGAAAGACCGTTGTTCCCCAAAGATTGGAATGGCTCCTGGTGTGTCTTGTGTAGCTACACAATCATGCAAACCTATAGAATATGTGTGCATGTCTATGAATGCATCTCTAAAGATATAATAAAAATTCAATAGTCCTTTCATTTTCTATACCTACCTTTATTATTTACTTTGTTGCCCCTCTGACTTTTACTTGATTTAAAGCTGATCTGTAGCCACCTAAGAAAACTTGTATTTGTATGTCTGATGTCCATTTATGTTTGTATTAGAATTCACTTGTTATTTTCCGTATTTGCAGCCTATGCATGGTGGTATGGGAATTATTTGTGGCCACTGTGTTCAGAAGATGCTATGAGATAGAACTGTTATATAGTGGTATCATGAAATTGTAAAGGGGTATGTAACAAGCATAAGAAAAATGTAATGTTAGTGAGTCTTCCAAGCCTCCAAACTGATGCTAGGCCAATCAAGTGCTGATCTAAGGAGCCCATCCTTGCTCAATGAAGATACACTAACAAAAAAGGAGAAGTCGCACTCTGATGATGTCACTTAATCAATACATGTTTATTCAGCCATACAAGTAACACAGTTCATCCCCCGCCTGTGTTGCCTATATGGCTGAATAAAAATGTACTGACCATTGATCTCTATAAGCATCATGTAACATATTCCCAGTTTCTTATTGACTTCTGCAGCATATCCCCAGTCAAAAATGTAGCGTGTCCACACTCTCTGACCCTTATTTCCTCTATTAGGTTTGCAGTTTCTGACAGTCCTCTTAAGCATTACATACAGTGCATTCATAAAATATTCAGACCCCCTTCACTTTATTTTAATTTTGTTGTGTTGCAGCCTGATACTACAGTTGTTTAACTTCATATTTTCCTCATTAATCTACACTCAGTACCCCATAATGACAAACTGAAAATAGAATTTTAGAAATGTCTGTAATTTCTTAAAAAAAAACCTGCAATACCACATGTACTTACGTACAGTAGGTGTTCAGACCCTTTAATTAGTACTATGTTGAAGCACCTTTGGCAGCAATGACAGCCTCACGTCTTTTTGGGTATGACACAGCAAGCTTTGCCCACCTGGATTGGGGGATTTTCTGCCATTCTTTACAAATCCTCTCAAGCTCAGTCAAGTTGGATGGGGACCGTCAGTGTGCAGCCATTTTCAGATCTCTCTAGAGATGTTCAGTGGGGTTCAGTTAAGGCTCAGGCTGGGCCACTCTAGGGCATTCACAGAGTTGTCCCTGAGCCACTCCTGTGTTGTCTTGGCTGTGTGCTTAGGATTGTTGTCATGTTGGAAGGTGAACCTTCGGCCCATTCTGAGGTCCTGAGCGCTGTGGAACACATTCATTGAGGATATCCCTATACTTTGCTCCATTCAGCTTTCCCTAAACCCTGACCAGTCTCATAGTCCCTGCTGCTGAAAAACACCCCCACAGCATGATGCTGCCACCACCATGCTTCACTGTTGGGATGATATTGGGCAGATGATATTGGGCAGGTGATGAGCGGTACCTGGTTTCCTCCAGACAAGCCAAATAGTTCAATCTTAGTTTCATGAGACCATAGCATCTTGTTCCTCACAGTCTGAAAGTCCTTTGGGTGCTTTTTTGCAAACTTCAAGCGGGCTTTCATGTGCTTTTTATTTTTTTGACTGAGGTGAGGCTTCCATCTAGCCACTCTACCCTAAAGCCCAGATCAGTGGAGGGCTGCAGTGATGGTTGTCCTTCTGGAACTTTGGCCCATCTCCACATAGGATTTTTGGCACTCAGTCAGTGACCACCAGGTTCTTGGTCACCACCTACTAAGGCCCTTTTCCCCCCGTTTACTCAGTTTGGCTTGGCGACCAGCTCTTGGTAGAGTCCTGGTTGTGCCAAACTTCTTCCATTTGAGAAGGAGGCCACTGTGCTCTTGGGAACCTTCAATGCAGCAGACATTTTTTGTATCCTTCCCCAGATCTGTGCCTTGCTATAACTCTGTTTCTGAGCTCCCCAGGCAGTTCGTTTGACCTCATGGCTTTTGCACTGATACAGTACTGTCAGGGCTCCCAGGTGTGACCAGAGGTGTGTGACTGATGCAGGGAAACGCAGACTTCAGATATGTGATAAACAATATAATTTATTAACACTAACCATACAAACATAAACGCAGTGCAATACTAAAACATAATACAGTGCAAACAAACCAAACCAACCACCCACAGATAACAGTACATACAAGCAAGCGTCGTCAGGCAGGCCGGGTCAATATCAATAGGGCAGGTAGGTACAGGGGGAGCAAGCGGAGAATGGTCGGGGTCACAGGCCAGGTTCAGCAGGTAGCAAGCAGCGTAGTACAGAGGGTCAGGCAGAGGGATGGTCAGGGTCACAAGCCAGGGATCAGAACAGGTAGCAAGCAGCGTGGTACAGAGGGTCAGGCAGAGGGATGGTCAGGAGCGAGCCGGGATCAGAGCAGGAGAAGTCAGCAGCGGTTCAGATCAGGCAGGGTCAGCAAAGGAACAGAAACAGGATGCAGGACAGATACAGGGCCCAGGACAAACACAACACCAAGGCAGAGTCTGCAAGTCTGGCCATCCCTTAAATACACCAGTATCATCAGTTCCAGGTGTTAGCTGGCTGAAAGGTTGAGTCTCTGATTGCTGGGAGCACCCGCTGGCCAGCCCTGGTACTGCAGATCAAAAGGCAGGTGAGTCCCACCATTGCTGGCCAGTCCATTCCTGACAGTACCCCCCCCCCCCTCAAGGAGCGGCCTCAGGACGCTCCAAACAGTCCTAGCTGGGCAAAATGTTCCACCGCCCGGGTCTGGTAACTGGCGGGATATCAAAGACTGGCACACCGGGCAGGACTCCGGGCAGGCGGCACACCGGGCTGGACTCCGGGCAGAGGCACACCGGGCTGGACTCCGGGCAGAACACCGGGCTGGACTCCGGGCAGAGGCACACCGGGCTGGACTCCGGGCAGAGGCACACCGGGCTGGACTCCGGGCAGAGGCACATCGGGCAGGACTCCGGGCAGAGGCACATCGGGCAGGACTCCGGGCAGAGGCACATCGGGCAGGACTCCAGGCAGAGGCACATCGGATTACCAGGTGAAGCAGCAGGAAGCGAGCCACCAGGCGGAGCAGCAGGCACCGGGCCTCCGGGCGGAGCAGCGGGCCCCGGGCGGAGCAGCAGGCACCGGGCCGACGGGCGGGGCGGCGGGCACGGGGCCCCCAGGCGGGGCGACGGGCATCGGGCCCCCAGGCGGGGCGACGGGGCGCCGGACCCCCAGGTGGAGCGACAGGTCTCGGGCCCTCAGGGGGGCCTGAGTACAGGCATCAGGCTGAGTAGAGGATTCAGGCTGAGTAGAGGCTTCAAGCTGAACCACGGAAGGCAGGTTCACCGGTTTGGATACTGGCAGGATGGTATTGGTTGGAAAGAATTTTCGCTTTTTTCTGGTTTTAACTACTGGAGCACTGCAAGTAAACGCAGGTCTGCAAACGAATGGAGCAGCTGGAGACAGAGAAGAACTGGAGGATGGAACAGGAGAGGGAGCAGTTGCTACAGAGGGCTTTTTTACAGGGTTAAAGGCAGGATAGGTGCAGCGAGTGGGAACAGGGTACTGACATGCGGTAGATAGCAGGGCAGGAGGAGCTGTTGGGAATACAGGAGTAGAGCTTTGAGGAAATAGATTAGAAGCAGGACTGGGTTTTTGTAAGCTGACTGAGGCTGGGTGCAACAAGTCTGTCCATGTCTGCAGTATGGGTTGAACAAAGCTGAGCTTACACAAAGCCTGTCTGACCAAAGACTGCACTGCGTTTATACAATCTCTTAGTATCTGTGGTGAACATGTGGAATAACGCTCCAGAAAGTAACCCACATCATCCTCTAATAACCACACCAGGGACTCTACCTGGTCTGCACTAAATGGTGGCAAAAATTCATCCCTGCATTCGGGGGAACCAGATGAAACCAACTCAACACAAACCTTAATCAATGGCTGCACCATAGAGAAATCTGTGCCCTGATCTACTAGAACATGAGCGAGCCGTATACATTCTAGCAGTTCATCCCGGGTATACTCCTTCAGAGTCTGATAAGCATATTTTCTGTCATCAAGCACTAGCAGAGATAAATACTCAACCTCATCCAGATCCATCCTTCCCAGCAACAAGCCAAGATGGCTTCCCTGTGCAGCCACTTCTGGTCAGGATTGGCCTTGGTGTAATGTCAGGGCTCCCAGGTGTGACCAGAGGTGTGTGACTGACGCAGGGAAACGCAGACTTCAGATATGTGATAAACAATATAATTTATTAACACTAACCATACAAACATAAACGCAGTGCAATACTAAAACATAATACAGTGCAAACAAACCAAACCAACCACCCACAGATAACAGTACATACAAGCAAGCGTCGTCAGGCAGGCCGGGTCAATATCAATAGGGCAGGTAGGTACAGGGGGAGCAAGCGGAGATGGGTCGGGGTCACAGGCCAGGTTCAGCAGGTAGCTAGCAGCGTAGTACAGAGGGTCAGGCAGAGGGATGGTCAGGGTCACAAGCCAGGGATCAGAACAGGTAGCAAGCAGCGTGGTACAGAGGGTCAGGCAGAGGGATGGTCAGGAGCGAGCCGGGATCAGAGCAGGAGAAGTCAGCAGCGGTTCAGATCAGGCAGGGTCAGCAAAGGAACAGAAACAGGATGCAGGACAGATACAGGGCCCAGGACAAACACAACACCAAGGCAGAGTCTGCAAGTCTGGCCATCCCTTAAATACACCAGTATCATCAGTTCCAGGTGTTAGCTGGCTGAAAGGTTGAGTCTCTGATTGCTGGGAGCACCCGCTGGCCAGCCCTGGTACTGCAGATCAAAAGGCAGGTGAGTCCCACCATTGCTGGCCAGTCCATTCCTGACAAGTACATTGTCAGCTGTGAGGCCTTTCATAGAGAGGTGTGTGCCTTTCCACAAATCATGTACAATCAATTTATTTTGCCACAGGAGGACTCCAATCAAGGTGCAGAAACATCTCAGCAATGATCAAGAGAAATGGGAGGCACCTGAGCTAAATTTCAGGTGTTGTTGCAAAAGGTCTGAAATCGTATGCCAATGTGATATTTCAGTTTTTTTCTGTTTCATACATTTGCAAACATTTCTGGTATTCTGTTTTGTCATTATGGGATACTGACTGTAGATTAAGGAGAAAAAAATGAATTTAAACAACTGTAATATCAGGCTGCAACATAAAACTGAAAAAAGTGAAGGGTGTCTGAATACTTTATGAATGCACTGTATGTTGAATATTATGTGTGGTGCTTTGGTGATGTCAGGGGCCACGTTTGAGATCCCAAGGATGGGTGTACATGGATGTGTCCAAAGATACAGGGCACTGTACTGGAAAGCACAGTGCCCACCACAATAACTGGTGATTAAGATGAAGCTGCATGCTCTCATCCAGTGGCCCCTACGCTGAGAACAACAAAGGAAGCCCCCTCCCCTTTGTGATAGTTAATATGCCTGGTCACCGTTGTCCCATCAAGTCTCTCTGAATACCTGAAGGTGGAGAAAAAGTAGAATTTTTATCCCCAGGGTGTCTCCAGGAGTCCTTGGGATTGTGGGACCATGTCCGGTGCATGCTAGCACATTATGATATTCCTTTGAATTAGGATGATGTCATACCCACATACATGTGCGGGGGTCTCAGCCACAGCATGCCCGTGCTGTTCCTTCAGGGCACATTCACTGGTGATGTCACTACGTGCACGTTTAGGAGATATTCATTTTTCATAAGCTTACCTGTAGGTAAAAATCACAAAGCAGATTTTACTACCACTTTTAGACTCTAAAGTTGGAAAGAAGGTAAGATGCTCCACATGCAAATGCTATGATTGTCAACATTGAGGGATGACTGTGCTGAATGTTGTCTTATCTTACCTCCATCATCACACTATGTTGGATAATGAAAATATCAATGGAATAAGTAACACAAAATAAACAGTAGTTTTAATATTTAAGGAACAAAAACTGTATATATTGCTGCTTACCCCCTCCTTAGGTGTGGTGGCTGTGTCCGTTCTCATTTTTCAGGCTAACATCTTCAACAAGTACAGAGAACACCTGTTTATCTTGCTAGAAATGCAGGTAAGGTAAAGGACAGTAGCTGGTAACACAGATTTCAGAGTTCACTAGTTTGTCATGCAGAGTTCAGTAGTTTGTAAGGCAGAGAAGTCTGCCTTACAAACTACTAAACTCTGCATTACAAAACACTGGACTGTGAACCAACCATTCAGAGTTTGGCAGTTACAAACACAGGTCAGTAGTAAGTAGTAGTTGTTCATAAATACAGTTATATAAGAGCCAATTCAACCTGACTTGCGCTAAAATGCATAGAAAATGGATGTACATTTCCATTTATTTTAGTCGCATGCTGACATCCGTTGACAAACATTTTGACATCCGTTGACAAAAATTTTGACATCTGTTGACATACATTTTGACAGCAGTTAACATTAATGTTAGAGTGCGTTAAAGCGTACTGCATTTTCACAGGATATCTTATGCATTACGGCGATATCTGCTTACATCCGTTGCATTGCGCTAAAATGCATACGTTTCATTTTAGCTCAACACAGGTCAACGCAGTGTTATGATGTGAATAGGACACATTGGAAATTATTGTTTTTCAGATGTCCTTCCATTGATCTGCATTGTACTGCTGCGCTAAAACGCAGATAAATGCATTGGTGTGAATTGAAAAAAAATACACTAACATAACATTTGTTAACAATTAGGACACTTTCACATTGACTAACTGCAGTTTGGCCACAGCGCAGGTGTAGTGCAGGGTACCCATGGTTTTATTGTGTGTTACCTGCAATTTCCCCTAGACTTCCATTATGTCCTGCTTTTTTGGTGCATTTTCTGAAAGCGCAGCACAAATTCAAGACATAATCTATGGGAAGTCTATGTGAAAACGGCAGGTAACCCACACAAAATACGCAAGAACCCTTTGCTGCACCCACACTGTGGCCAAACTGCAGCAGGGCAATGTGTAGGCAGAAAATAAAAAGAAGTGCATTTGTAAAGTAATGAAAACCACATATTAGAAAAAAAATTTTAAATAAAAAAAAAAAAAAATATATATATATATATATATATACTACTCAAAAAAATTAAAGGAACACTTTAACATCAAGTCAATTAAACTCCTGGGATATTGACCTGGTCAGTTAAGTATCAGAGGGGGCTGTTTATCAGTTTCAGCTGCTTTGGTGTTAATGAAATTAACAACAGGTGCACTATTTACCAGGTGCAGATGGGCAACAATGAGACGACTCCCAAAACAGGCATGGTTTTGCAGGTGGAGGCCACTGACATTTTTTTCCCTGCTTATCTTTTCTGACAGTTTTTCACTAGTTTTGCATTTGGCTAGGGTCGGTGTCTCTACTGGTAGCATACCTAGACCCTACAGAGGTTGCACAGGCAGTCCAACTCCTCCAGAATGGCACATCAATATGTGCCATTGTCAGAAGGTTTGCTGTATCTCCCAGCACAGTCTCAAGAGCATGATTGAGATTCCAGGAGACAGGTAGTTACTCTA